TTTCTCTCTCTCTCTCTTTCTCTTTTCCCCCCGTGAACCGAGGCCCGCGCGGCTTACATCCGCCGGGCCTCGGCAGTCTCTCTTCCCCTCCCCGACTTTCTTCCCCCTCCTCACCTGTCTCTCGCTGCCGCCGCCGCTGGGCCTCTCCGGCCGTTCGATTCCTTTCCCGCGCACGGAAGCCAGGTAGGTCGCAGAGCATTCCGTGCGCATGCGCACGGAACGCTCTGGCACTTTCGGGGGGATTTAAACATCCCCCGAAAGTTATTTCAACATTTAGCATTTTTGTGCACACGTGGGGACTGCCCCACATGTGCACAAACCTCTCCCTCCCCCCCAAGTGCCCCCGATGTCCGGATCTAAGGATCCGCACAGAGGGGACCAGTTCAGTATTAGATATATAGATAATACTGATGTAATGCAAGGGATATTGGATTGTTTGAAGGGGATATAGGGTCAAGTGCCCTCCCCGCCTGAGAGGAGAGAATGAAGATTCCCAGTCACTTCCCACACTTAGAAAAGACACCTTTAGACATTCATCTGCTAGTTTGACATATTTATTGCTTTACGTTGACCTTATAACTGTAGCTTGTTATTTAGTGTCACTTTGCATATCTTGAACATCATCATGTTGAATGTTAATTTGCTGTTCATTCTCTGCTTGTAACCTTGATTTGAACCTTGCCTGCGATTCTAAGGTATTTGAAAAAGTGTGCCTTGCACATGAAAGCTCATACCTTGAATAAACCTTTGTTGGTCTTAAAGGTGCCACTGGACTCTAAATTGGTTCTAACAGTAAATCTGTTCAGCTGAATTGAGACATAATATGAAACCATCGCTTATTTTAACTAAGGCTAATTTGTGAAACCAGGATTTGGCTTACTAATGATAAACTCAAATCCTAGTTGGCCTCAACAGAAGTTGGATTCACCGCCTTTGCTCTGGCTGGTGGCAGGCTCTGTAGCTGGGAGTGAAGGATGTTGGGACCAGGGAGCAAAGCAGAATTAAGCCAGGCCTGCATTTGTATGTGCCATGAAACCACTGTTAAGATGAGTGGTGATTAAGAAGCCACCTTCAGTTCCTGGTTTGATAGATCTCGACTAACTGTAGTTAATGGAGTGGCCTGCATTCTGACAAGCACACTAACCGTAGCTAGTTTAATTAAACCCCGAATTATGCATTATGTCTGAACCAAGCTTTATTCCTTCCCCTGTTGAACTTTTTTTTAGCAGAATGTACAGAAAAGTGGCTCTAGAACTTTTTCCTGTTAGGATATTGTCACCTGCACGGTAGTAAATAAACTCCCCAAAGTACAACGGGTTACCACTTAATGGTTTGCTTTGCCTGGATAAAGAACAAACTCAAATGTATGCATTTTGTCAGGGGAATTGTTGTTCTTCCACAAAATCATTTAACATATTAGGGTAAAAAAAAAAATACCCCAGGAATTCATTAATGTCCCACAAGACTCCCATTTTTGTGGCGATATGGCAATGTCTTTGGAATATGTCTAAAATGACATACATTTAATGCAACTTAAATTTTAAGACACAATCCAGTCAATTTTGGGTACTTTCAAATTCCACTGGTTTCAGTGGTTGGGAATAACCTCAGTACATCTTTAACTCTCTCCCCTAATGAACTTTTAAAGTGCTTTATTTTGCTCCCCATTGCTATAAAATTATAGGTTAAGCATGCACATTGCCTTTAGCAGCTGGATTCCAAGCAAAAGTCAAAATCATCTCTGGTTTACTTCAAGAATGGGGACTATATCCCCATGACCAGCCTGGGAAGACAGAACGGGTCCTTACCTGACTACGAAGTAAGAGATGCCGAAATCGGGGAGCGACTGCCAGGCCTGGATAAATTTCATCTTGGCATCGATGAGTGAGAGCTGAGCCACGTTCTGATAGGCTTCCAGGATGCGTGGGGTTAACTGTGTGTGTTTATAAATAGAGAACATCGGAAATGATTTGTAAGTGCTTGAAGCCACAGGGAAAGGAAAGGAAGGGATATAAATAAATAAGCAAACAACCTATGCTGGATCCGCGTAAAGGTCCATCTAGCCCAGCATCCTGTTTTCTACAATGGCCAATCTAGAGTTGCCAACAGGCCTGGAGAAAAATGCCCCGTGCCTTTACAGAGGCTTCATGTGTAGAAATGGATAGCTAAAACTTTTTGTGGCCCAGAAGTAGATATCACCAGGCAAGTAACATCCCATTAAAGCTCTCATAAAGAAACAGGGCATCTTTTTTTTCTCCAGGCACTTGGCAACCCAAGCGCCGTAGGGTGTTCTATTACCATACTTTTGCAGCAAAGAATTATTGCTCATTCGTATTCTTTTTACGATTGTAATTGTCAAAATACGATATTATGATCACGCAGGGGAAAGCAATGAGCAATAGGTTTGGCTGCAAAAAGCAAAGCACCAATTAGAGCCTTTCTAGAAGAAGACTTAATTCAGGTGTACTGCAGCTACTGAGAGCTAAGAGGAAGTAATTAATTGAGAAGCAGCAACACAGAGGAACAGAACAAAATTTAACGAGGCCCTAGAAAGCTTCAACACCAGTGCGGACTGGCAGGCACTGCAGATGCCCCTTAAAAACCTCCACAAACTGGGTCTGGGGAAAAATACATGGGAAAACAATTACCACCACCACCCCGCATGTACTAGGATGCTATAAGCTGAACATGATATTGTCTGGATTTTATGTAAAAGCCAAATGACCAAATGAGGACTGTTCCGGTAGAGAGTATCAGAGAGCAATCCAAGTAGGTTTGCTCTATCCTATTCTATGCTAGGACAAGTTGAAGGCAGCAGGAAAAGAGGAAGACCCACCAAGAGATGGATGGACTCACTCAAGGCAGCCATGGCCCTCAGTCTGCAAGACCTGAGCAAGACTGTTAACAATTGGATGTTTTCGAGGACGTTAATTGACAGCATTGTCATGTCAGAAGCAACTTGACGACACTTAACACACACACTATGCAATGGGTTGTACATCCAGGAACATTTTCTTAAGATGGCATTCTCAGTTATGTTTAAAGAAACCTTGCTCATTCATAACGGCCTCCTTGGAAACGGGTGCAGGGCTTCATCAGGGGCTTGCACTTCAAAGAGATCAAAGTCTTGAATGTGCAACAGCCTTTAATCTCAGTAGTCAAGGGAAGTATCACACTGTGTCGAGGTTTAACCTCTTTCCCTTGAAAGAGTCAAGCTGGCATGTCTGTACTTGAAGCCCAACATCTTGGCTTAAAGATGCATGCGGGCTTTCAGTCTGACGGCTCAACGTTCACAGGGCTTACTGCACAGGGCTGCATTTTTGCATTTTCCTTTGCCCATTCAAAAAAAGGGTGCGGGCGTGTTGAGCTGTTTTGCGAACTTGAAATGTGCTCTGAGTCTGGGTACTCCGTTTCATCCGGATATCTCAGTATTCCTTGGAGTTATCTCCTGTTACAAAAAACTAATCAACAGAATCCAGATGCTGTAGTTCAGCTTTACCTATTGATGGGTGGCTGGCCAGATGCCGTCCCAGTTAATCTGGCTGAGGGGCTGGAGGCCGTGGTGGGGTGGGGTGGCTAAAGCAGTGCCAGTTGAGACAGAATCCTGCAAAGACGGAGATTCTGTGGCTGGGACAGGGAGATGCTAGTGTGGGGTGCCGGCTTCCAGTCCTTAACGGCAGTGTTCCCTTTAGCCTCTGGCTCACACATTTTTATTTTAGCTCAGGAAGGAGGGCTCCAGAACAAATTAATTAATGCAGTAGCCGAATCGCTCGCTCACAACTTTAATGCCAGTAGCTCAGAAAGTAGAAATTTTGCTCACAAGACTCCACAGCTTAGAGGGAACATTGCTTGACGGTGTGCCATTAAAACTGGCACTTACCGTTTGAAGTGTGGGGGTGATCCTGGATGCCTCCCTGACAATGGAGGCCCAGGTCACCAATATTGCTAGGCTGGCGTTTTATCAACTGCACCAAGCCAGGCAACTGGCCCCCTACCTGTCTCGCTCCGAACTAGCCACCGTAAGCCATGCAATGGTCACCTCCAGACTGGATTACTGCAACTCGCTCTATGTGGGCCTACCCTTGAAACTGACCTGGAAGCTCCAGCTGGTTCAGAATGCAGCGGCTCGGGTCCTTATAGGGACCCTGCACACAGTTCACATCTCTCTGGTGCTGCGAGAGCTGCATTGGCTTCCAGTAGAGTCCCAGATCAGGTACAAGGTGTTGGTGTTGACCTTTAAGGCCCTTAACAGCCAGGGACCCATGTATACCCCCAGGAGAGCCTTGTGCTCCAATGATCAACATCTGCTGGTGTTCCCTGGCCCGAGAGACATCCGGCTTTTTCCGCCCTGGCCCCAACATGGTGGAACTCTGCTAAATCCCATCTGGGCCTTGCGGGGTTTACTATCTTTCCGCAAGGCCTGCGAGGCAGAGATGTTCCACCAGGCCTTTAGCTGAGGACAGTAATGGGTCAACCTGGTGCTCCTACTTCCACCCCCCCCCCCGAAGATACTGGCACCACTGAGACTTAGATAGTGCTGCAAGATGGCAGCGCCCTCAGGATTTTGACGCCATCTGTTTTTTTGGTCGCATGACAGAGGTACCTGCTTGGGTTTGAATTTCTTCTGGTAACGGGGCGACACCAGCCACTGGGCGCCCTCGGCTTCGGTGGCGAGGGGAGCGTCCGGGTTGGCCCGCTGCAGTTGTAGAAAGGACAGGATGTTCTGCACCTCAGCCTGGTACGATGCGTCCGCCATGGTTTTACCTTTTGCCGCCAGCCGGCACCCAGCCATCCAGCGGGCGTACTGCTGCTCCTGGGGGCAGGGAGAGGAGGAAGATGGTATCAGGAAACTTTGGCTGCTTTCACACCATGATTCTCCATGTAGACATGAAGCTGCCTTCTCCTGAACCAGACCCTCGGTCCGTCAAGGTCAGTATTGTCTACTCAGACTGGCAGTGGCTCTCCAGGGTCTCAGGCAGAGGTCTTTCTCATCACCTGTTGCCAGATCCTTAACTGGAAATGCCAGGGATTGAACTTGGGGCCTTCTGCATGCCAAGCAGATGCTCTACCACCGAGCCACAGAGCCTCTTGTACCTGCTGCAAGAGCAGAGGTATTCAGAACAGCAAGGGAGCACCCATGCAGCAGCCGCCCTTGCAATTTCCATGCCTCACCCCCCTCCCAAACAACCAGAGAACTTGTTTTAAAATAAGAATCACTAGTAGATAGATTGCCGTAGTTCAATGACCCAAGAAGTATCTATTGCCACAATCTACTAGCTTTTCTGAATTCCCAGCTGGGCTATGGTTCAGTGGTAGAGCATCTGTTTGGTATGCAGAAAGTCCCCAGTTCAATTCCACAGCATCAATACTTAAGGGGATCAGGGAGGAGGAGGAGGAGGAGGAGGAGAAAAAGAAGGAGGGGAAGGAGAAGAGAAGGAGGAGATTGGATTTATACCCCGCCCTTCACTACCCGAAGGAATCTCAGAGCGGCTTACAATCTCCTTTCCCTCCCCCTCCCCACAACAGACACCCTCTGTGAGGTAGGTGGGGCTGAGAGAGCTCTCTCAAGAACTGTTCAGTGAGAGAACAACTTTGAAAGAACTTGTGACTGATCCAAGGTCACACCAGCAGCTGCATGTGGAGGAGTGGGGAATCAAACATAGTTCTCCCAGATTAGAGTCCACGCTCCTAAACCACTACACCAGAACAGACCTCTGTATAACACCACGGGGAGCCTCTGCCAGTCTGAGTGGAGAATACTGACCTTGACGGACCAAGGGTCTGATGCAGTATAAGGCAGCTTCATGTGATGCACATTTTGGGGAGGGGATGTGGCTCAGTGTTAGAGCATCTGCTTGGCATGCAGAAGGTCCAGTCCCCAGCATCCCCAGTGAAAAGGACCAGGGACTAGACGATGTGAAAGACCTTCACCTGCGACTCTAGATAGCTGCTGCCTGTCTGAAGAGACAATCTTGACCTCGGTGGAGCAAGGATCTGATTCAGTAAAAGGCAGCTTTGTGTGTGTGCTCAACTAAAGTTTCCTCTTATGCCTTCTCAAAAGGACCACAGAGGGGTTTTTCAATAGAAGCTGGAGATTTAGAGGAGCTAGTAGGCTGTGACTATCAGTCATTACAACGTCGTTGTGTTGCAGTGACCTAACAATTCAAAAAACAAAAGCTTGGAAAAAAGCACTCTGGTGGTGGAGGGCAAATGGTGGCTGCAGAAGAAGAAGAAGAGATTGGATTTATACCCCACACCCTTCACTACCCAAAGGTGCCTCAGAGCGGCTTACAAACTCCTTTCCCTTCCCCTCCCCACAACAGACACCCTGTGAGGTAGGTGGGACTGAGAGAGCTCTTGACAGAAACTGCTCTTTTTTCAAGAACAGCTCTTATCAGAACTACGGCTTGCCCAAGGTCATCCAGCCAGGTGCAAGTGGAGGAGTGGGGAATCAAACCCGGTTCTCCCAGATTAGAGTCCATGCACTTAACCACTACACCAAACTGGCTCTCTTCACTTCTGGGTGGGGAAGGAGAAGAAGGAAGAGAAAGCGAAGAGGAGGAGGAGACTGGATTTATACCCCGCCCTTCACTACCTGAAGGACACAAATGTCAATGAAGCAAGTGCAGGGGATGGAGGTTAGAAAAATGACAGCACTATGTGGGCAGGACCTACATAAGTGTGCACCTTCCTGTCCACACATGGTACAAAGGCACTTTGACTGAGATCTTTCCAAACTGATTCGTCAACTCAGGTTTGGGAAAGAGCACGTCAAAGCAGGGGAGAACCTGGAAAGTGGACCATTAGGGGCTACTGCCGTGGAGATGATCCAAAAATATCTCACTGCATATTGGATGCCAAAGCACAGCAAAAACCTCTTAGCAGAAGCAAGTGTTGTCTGCAACAGGTTCACACCACCAGCTCGTTAATATAACACATGGCTCCTTTTAAACCTGATTTCATTTCCGCACTCCGGCACTCACATCTACACAGCGCAAGTGAATTTCACTCATTCCATCTGGCGAAGGAACCAGTAGCTTGATGCAGAATTTCTGCCCTGAGATGTTGACATCGGGTACCACCTCGCAGCCTGGAGTGTGGGGGGGAAATAGCATTAGAAATTGAGAGGAGAAAGGATGCAAAAATGTATGAGCCTGCTTCATACTGAATCAGACCACTGGTCCATCTGAACTCACTATTGTCTAGTAATGACTCTCCAGGGTCTCACAACAGTTTAAGGACACTGATGAATAGTGTAGACCATATATAACTTAACATCAAATAAAGCTCCAAAATATTCCAATTCTTAAACAATTCTTGTTATTTAAATGTTCGTATTTAAATATACTATTCAAAACAATGGGTACACAGACAAGTTAAGAACTTGAAGGAAACTTTACAATCCTAGAAAAAAACTTCACTGTTCCAAAATGAAGAAAAGGCTTCTCAATCCCAAACTGGAAAAACACAAATGTCCATGAAGCAAGTGAATCCAGTCCTTAAGACTTGAGGCAAACACTCAATGATGAGCTGCAGTGGACCCATTCTCCAGATTTTCAATGGGTAATCGATCCCTTCGTTAGGACTGCACATCGATGGGTTCTTCCAGGAAGAAGTGCCTCCAAAACTGCCTTGTTTTACAGCAACAGGAACTCACTCAGAACCATGTCTCCAAACTGCCTTATTTGTCTTTATTGCTTTATTGCTGAGCGGTCGGGTTAGAACGAATAAAAGGAAGTACTTCTTCACCCAAAGAGTGATTAACACTTGGAATTCACTGTCACAGGAAGTGGTGGCAGCTACAAGCATGGAGGGCTTCAAAAGGGAATTAGATAAGCATATGGAGCAGAGGTCCATCGGTGGCTCTTAGCCACAAGGTATAGATAGGAACTCTCAGTCTGGGGCAAGTAATGCTCTGTATTCTTGGTGCTTGGGGGGGGTCAACAGTGGGAGGGCTTCTAGTGTCCTGGCCCCACTGGTGGACCTCCTGATGGCACCTGGTATTTCTGGCCACTGTGTGACACAGAGTGTTGGACTGGATGGGCCTTTGGCCTGATCCAACATTGGAGTCTCTTATGTTCTTATTCATGATGAAAACGTGTAGCCTCCCTCTGTAGACATTCTCTCATCTAAGCATGCAAAGACGGCTCTTCTATGGACCTTTGTCCTGTAACAGCTTCTAAAGGTAACTTGTATGGAGCCTAGGGTTACCAATTCAATGCTCCCTCTAAGCTGTGGAGCCTGTTGAGCAAAAAAATCTCCCTGGTGTGCTCCTGGCATTAAAGTTGTGAGCGAGCAATTTGGCTACTGCATAAATTAGTTTGCTCTGGAGCCCTCCTTCCTGGGCTAAGACAAAAATCTGTGAGCTGGAGGCTAAAAAACTGTGAGCTAGCTCATACTAACTCAGCTTAGAGGGAACACTGGTTACCATTCTTCAGTTGGGGATGGGGGATCCCCCGTTTCTGTGGTCTCCTGCCCGCCACTGGCCAGCGAGAGGAAATTCCCCCGAAAAACAGCAACATCGCCAGAAATAAACACATCATGCCTACGTCACCCAGAAGGGAAGTAGGCACGTCGTTGATGTTGTGGGGTGATGCTCTGGTTTTTGGGCAAAACTCTATGGTTTGAGGCTGATTTTACCATAGAGTTTTGCCCATAAACCAGAGTGTTGCCCCCCAGTGCTGGTGACGTGGGCACGTGGTCAAACATCACTTCCTGCTCCTGGAACGTCCCGCCCATCCCCCCCGCAGGTGTTTCTGACGGGCAACCACTGGTTTCTCATCCAGTACTGCCTACCTTGACTGGCAGGAGCTCTCCAAGCTCTGCTCCCCAGTTTCTAACTTTGAACACACAGGACTGTGCTTAGACAGGAGATGAGCCATGGCTTAGTGGCAGAGCATCTGCCTGGCATGCAGAAGGTCCCAGGTTCAATCCCCCGCACCTCCAGTTAAAAGGCCCAGGCAGTAGGTGCTGAGAAAGAGCACTGCCTGGGATACTAGAGAGCCACTGCCAAGGTCTGACTCAATATAAGGCAGATTCACCTGTTCACCTCTGGAGCTCTGGGCCCAGTAACTGGAGTCACTCACCCTTGAGGTTGAGCTGTTGCACCGGTTCTCCAAGGGCTTCCTCAGGACTCTTGTAGTAGGAGATGGAGGTCTCTTTGAAGGTCACCCAGTACTGCTTGTAACCTTTGAGCGTCAGCTTGCGGGGCCTGTGCAGTGGGAAAGGACAAGAAAGCAACGTTGTGTGGCTTTCCCTCCTCATTTTAGCATTCTCTTTCGCAGGTTCCCTCTCTCACCTGCACACCCAGCCCCTCTGTCATTTCCTCCAACAGCTCCATGGGCTTGTTCCTCTCTACCTGGCTCCTCGGAACCTTCACTCGAGAAGCTATGAATCTTCTAGCTAAATCTAAAACTGCCTGTGTCCCGCTATTACAAGTGATCTACAGGCAACAGACATCAGTTAACCTGAGAAAATGGTGGCTGTGGAAGGTGGACTCTGTGGCATTATATATCCCACTGAAGTCCCTCCCGTCCCTAAACCCCACCCTCCTCACTCCACCTCCAAAATCTCCAGGTATTTCCCAACCTGGAGCTGCTAACCCTACTGCCACTGGGAGGCCCTGCCACTTGGCATTAGACTCTCTTCCTCTCTTATTGAACTCGAGGGCCTCCTTAAGAAACACATTTCCACACATTTCCTCAGTTTATCCTAAGAATCCCACTGGGTCACACCAAACGTCCATCTGTTCCAGCATCCTGTATCCAATGATAGCAGGCCAGATGCTTTTGGGAAGTCCACAACCAGGTCATGAAGGAAACGGCACTCCCTGTTGCCCCATCTAGGGTTGCTAGCTTCCAGGTGGGTCCTAGAGATCACCCGGAATTAGAACTGATCTCCAGGAGAAGGAGATCAGTTCCCTTGGAGAAAATGGCTGCTTTGGAGGGTGGACTTGATGGCATTGTACACCACTGAGGTCCATCCCCTTCCTAAACTCTGGTCTCCCTAGGCTCCGGTACCCAAATCTCCAGGAAATTCACAACCAAGAGTTGGCTACTAGGGTTGCCAACCCCCTGATGGGGGCAGGGTTTTCCCCGATTTCAGGGGGCTCAATCCATTGCCCAGCCAGCTGGCCAGCAGGGAAGCCCCCCCAGGCACATCACACAGGGGACGCTCTAGCATTTGGCTAAAAACTCTATGGTCACCATAGAGTTTTTAGCCAAATGCTAGAGTGTCTCCTATACAACATGCCCAGTGCAAAGACATCACTTCTGGGTGACATCATCATGGTGCACACATTTTCTGCATGCACCAGAAGACTCAAGGACCAAGCCAGGAGCCCCCCGCTGGCAGATAGATAAGATCTGGCAACCCTAGTCCCATCCCTTGAGTGGTATTCAAACACACCATCTCTGAACCTGGAAGTTTCACCTTAGCTATCCTGGCAGGTGAGGTTCTCTTCCAATTCACTTTCCAAGACACTTAATTCTTGGGGTCCCTGTTTTGTATGGTTGTTTACATTTGTGGGTTTTTTTTAAATTTTTTTTTTTTTTTTTTTTTTGCAAACTGCCTTATGAACAAGTTTTCTGTCGAAAGGCTGTCTGGAAAGACTGTAAATAAAAATATGGGATGTGCTCTGCTGGCAAGGCCTGTTTTATTATTGATTTTTGTACTGCCCCTAGCGAGTTACAGGTGCTTGAGAAATAAATAAAACAAGCTCTGCACCTGCAAGGAATCAGCCAGGGAAGGAGGATTAATGATTTGGAATTGGATCCCCCTCCCCAAACCTCCCCTCTCAATAAATTCTAAACTCCCTGGGGCATCAGCAGGCCGATTTTCACATCTCCTTCTGTTTCCTTACTTTAACTGACTCTCAACACTGCACGCCTCTTGGAACACGCTCAGTCCCCCCCCCCCCATCAGGCTGTGGGGGGGGAGAGTTCCACCCCACCTTTGGCTAATTTACAAAGTAATATATATTTTTCCTTCATATCTGTGGATCCCTCCCCACCTCCACGCATGTAGAAACGCTTTCTCTGCAAGTGACCGGGAGCTTCTGCTGCTCTCGTGACTGACGCAATCTACCCACTTTGTTTATAGCAATACTAATAAAACTGTCTTGCCCAAAAGGTTGGGCAAAGTGCAGGCCAAAGCTAGCACTCCCAAGAACCTTGGCTCCGCATCCCCACCTTCCATAATGACAACAGAAACCAGGCATCCTTCCCCCGACTTCCTAAGCTTTAACAAAATGCTAATGTTTGTACTGAAATCAGAAGCATAGCAATTACTAATAATTTATTATTATTATCATTATTGAATCACAGAGTTGCAAGGGGCCATACACACCATCTAGTCCAACCCCCTGCTCAATGCATTGTGTGTAGAATAGCCAGGAGATCCTAAGACAGTCTGGCAGCCAGAAGTTCTAGCTCTTTTTTTAGCATTATGCACCACTAGGTGGCGAGCTAGACTTGTTTTTTAAGACAAGAGACGTTTCATAGGTGGTTTGCCATTGTCTGCCTTTGCTTCACAGCCCTGGTATTCCTTGGAGGCCGCCCTTCCAAATACTAGCCAAGGCTGACCCTGCTTAGCTTCTGAGATCTGACGGGATCAGGCTAGCCTGGACTATCCAGGTCAGGGCAAAGGAATTGCTATTGCCAATGTACAGGGTTGCCAACCTCCAGTTGGCACCTGGAGATCTCCTGGGATTACAAGTGATTTCTAGGTGGAGAAAAGGGCTGCTTGGAAGGTGGACTCAATGGCATTATACCCTGCTGAGGTCCCTCCCCAAACCCCGCCCTCCTCAGGCTCCACCCCCCAAAAGCTCTAGATATTTCCCAACCCAGAGCTGGCAACCTGACCAATTTAAGAGCTACTCCAAGATCTACTTTATGGTTTTGAGGCTCACCTGAGTATTCGGAGGTAATCCTTCAGTTCTGGGATCGCTGTGAGACTGTCCTAGAAGGGCAAGATGAATTCTTACTTTATTTAGAGCATGTAAGACAACTACCCCAAACAGCTCACAAGGTAAAGCACTTTAACCATAAAAATCACGAAAACCAGTGACATGAAGACCAGCACTAAAACGAGTGACAAAAACAGCACAGAGCAGTATAAAAATAGCATTTAGCAGAATGGAACAATGTTTGCAGCAGACAAACAGCAATGACAACAATTTTAAAAGGATGAGCTGACCCTTCAATTAAAACCTTGAATGAAAATGAACGCTTTGGGTCTGGTGCCTTTTGCATAGGGGAGCAAATAACAAACACCCAGTTCCGTTTGGCTGAAGGCCTCTTTAGTAACAGTAACTGTAGGGCAGGCAACTTGGCTATTGGAATAAGGAATAAGAATAATTAACTAATTTAGGCGGGTAGCCGTGTTGGTCTGAAGCAACAGAACAAAGTTTGAGTCCAGTGGCACCTTTAAGACCAACAACATTTAATTCTGGGTATAAGGTTTTGTGTGCATGCACAATTCCTGACTGATGAAGTGTGCATGCACACAAAAGCTTATACTCAGAATTAAACTTTGTTGGTCTTAAAGGTGCCACTGGACTCAAACTTTGTTCTAATACTTAACTAAGCTCTTTCTAGAGCTCTAGGCCAGAGTTGCCAGGTCTGGGTTGGAAATTACCTGGAGACTTTGGAGGTGGATCCAGGAGAGGGTGGGGTTTGGGGAGGGGAGGGGCCTCAGCACGGTACAGTGCCATAGTCCACCCTTCAAAGCAGCCATTTTCTCCTTGGGAGCTGATCTCTGTCAGCTGGAGATCCGTTGTAAAAGAGGGAGATGCCCAGGCCCCACCTGGAGGCTAGCAACCCTAGCTTAGGGCTGCTGTAATGTACTGCTGCCCTTCCACGTGTAATGCATCAGCCTGACATACCCGGACTTGCCCGGGCTGGCCAGGCACAATTCATCTGTAACTTCAGTCGATAGACAAAGGATCCGAAGGATCCTAGCCGGCCCAATCAAAGGGCTAGCTTCCCAGCCAGGAGACCAACGGTCGCCCGGTTATTGTAAATAGCCTATCGGGAGTAGGGGGTGTGTTTAGGTGTACTGGTGGTGGGCTTTCTGAACGCATATAAACCGGCCTGTGAGCGGGTTTCCTTTGTCTTGTTCCTGATCAAATAAGGTACTCTTGCTGAATCACTCTTGCTGAATCACTCCACGTTCTGAGTACTTTTCACTGGCGACGAAGGTGGGATCTACGACCCCATGAACAAGACCTGGACGCCAACACGAGTACTGCACCGAGCCTGACGCCGAGACCTCTCCGGGAACCGCGCAACTTCGCATCCCAGCTCTCCGGCAACTGCTCATCGCTCCGCTCCCGGCTCCGCTTCGCACACTGCTGACCCCTCGAGCAGCAGCATCGCTCTCCACGCCATGACGCTGAGACCTCTCCGGGAACCGCGCAACTTCGCATCCCAGCTCTCCGGCAACTGCTCATCGCTCCGCTCCCGGCTCCGCTTCGCACACTGCTGACCCCCCGAGCAGCAGCGTCGCTCTTCACGCCCCAGTCGCTGCCGCCGCCAGCCTCCCCCGGGGTCGCCACCGCCGCTCCAGCAGGGACCTCGCACGAAGGCATCGCTCCGTTTGACTTGGCCCACCCCGAACGATGGACCACATGGGTGAGGATCCTCAAGCACTACCTCGCCTGCATGCGGGTCACCGACGCCGAAT